AGCTGCCTACTGTGTGCCCACGGTTAGTGTAGGATAATGAACAAGCAGTCCCACTTCCCTTTCCGAGGGGCACTCAGGATTGTCGAACCTGAAGAGGCTGCCCAACCTGGGTGGTGTAGGGAGCAGATGGAGAATCCAGAGGTTTTCTGGAAGAAGCAGGGCCGGCACTAACCTGAGCAGGTGTTAGTTAGCCCAGAGAAGAAGGGAGACCATACTTTGCTGCCAGCAGGGTCTTGTGGACGTGGATTCCCCGCTCTCTGGAGCCTCTGACTCCACTCAGAGCTCTGGGAACCTCGCCCTTCCCGGGCTGAGGGCCAGTACAGTTGGGCTGCATGGCAGGTGTTGCCATCAGCTCCTCAGGACTCCTGGATGGGTCCTCGGCGTGGAGCCCTTCTGAGGTGTGGGTGAGAGCCCAGAGGCCACGCTGGCAGCCCTGCTGTGGTGGGAAACCAGATCAGCACCAGGGCCCACAGCCACTCTGCACGCCGCCCGCATGCAGGCTTCCCTTTCCCCGGGCTGGCCCTCTCTTCTGTAGCCTCCCTGGGCGTGTCCTTGCGCTTCCTGCAGATGGACATGCTCCCTGAGCCAGGTCCCACCCAGGCCTGCCACGGCCTGCCTGCTTCCATCCCCATCCGGCTCACCATGGGAGTCCAAGTCCACTCAGAAATGTGGGGTCACAGAGGCTGCACCAGACACCAGGGCTGTGTTCCTGCCCTTGAGGTGCTTGGAGGGTGGGGACAATAGCAAGCACAAATGAAGTGCAGGATACCTCCCTGGTATCATGTGCTGTGAAGAAGGGGTTAGCCCCCACCTCCACAGCACGAGGAGGAGACACCAGCCCAGCCTCAGGAGGCAGCAGGTGCTGCCTGTGGTGGGGTGGGGCCAGCAGGCATCTGCCTGCAGGCCACCTGTGGCGGGGCAGGTTGGAGGCAGAGGGTTTGAGTCACAGTCTAGGGATTGGACCAGGCCTGGAGACACAAGTAGGGGCATCCCAGGCAGCCTTGAGACGGGGAGGTGCCAGGAGGGGTGGCCACCCAGTGCCAGGCCTGGGACCCTGCACCGGGAGAGCTTCAAGGCATGTGGGAGGGGTGAGGAGTGACCACTGGTGTGTGCAGACTCACGTGTCTGGGTGGAGAGAGGGCACGTGGGGCCCAGTGGAGGCCACTGGGCACGTTAGTGTATGCACATGGCGATCCGCCTCCCTGTGACCTGTGTGTGTGCTTGTCTATGGGCCTGGGCTTCTGGGAGTTGGAGGTGGGTGGAGCCTCACCTGGGGCTCCCCAGGGGAGCTTTCCTGACTGCTGAGGAGGGGTATGGAGGGGCACTGCCAAGTCCTACCTCTCAGCCTGTCTTAGCAGCAGGACGGCTGGGGGCACCCAGCCCTGGACAGGCCAGCCCTGTGCCTGACCCTCAGCCAGTCTGAGCCCCCCAGGTGAAGCCTCGTGATTCCTATCTGTGGAGGGTGGGGCGCACTTGATGGCCAGCCTGAGGCAGATGCTTCCTGGGATGTGCAGCATGGAGCTGGGGGGTTCAGGGAGTGGGGGAGAAGGGGCTCTGGGGGAGGGGCCGTGGGAGAGATCATGACCAGGGAGGATGGCCCAGTGGGCACTGCCCTGGGCTCCCCAGAACGTTCTGCTGGGCAGGTCCCCTCTCTTTCCCTTCTTGGTTCTGTGGAGCTGTCAGTACCTTCTTCCCAGACACAGCCACACATTGCCAGGTCCCAGCTGCCCCTGCATTTCGGCCAGAGCTGGGGGCCCTGTGCAGGGCCATGTGGGCAGTCTGGCTGCCTGGCTGAGGCTGCCCGACTGAGGCCGCCCAGAAGCCTTTATGGGGTTGGACCAGAGGCCAGACCAGGTCAGGGCCTGGAACCACCTCTGAGCCCGAGATGGGCAGTAGCTGCATGGCCCCGAGTGGATTCCCATGTGTGAGACACGGTCCCAGCTGTGCATGTGCGGGCTTCCCAGGGACCTCCAGGCCTGGTGTCTCACCCATCGCCACAGCAGACACGCTGGGCACCACTTCTTCCCTGAATGGTGGTCTGAGCCACACACGTGTTGCCTGTGAGCCTTGCATGCCCAGCACCCACCCCTGTCTTGCCAGCCACACACGGCCCTATCACCACTCACCTGGACTCTGGGAGACAGCAAGGCCCCCATGAGGACGGTGCCTCAGGGCTCTCTTATGCTGGGCAGGGCATGCAGCCGGGTGGTGCCATCCCACGGGCTGCGCCCTGAGGCCTCCCTGGCCACCCTGGCTCCCCTGTGGGGTCTCCTCCCCAGCACCAGGGGGTCTGGTGCTCCTCCCATGCTCACTGGAAACAGCTGTGCCTTTATGGCTTCGGGAGGGTGGGGCCTGGCTTCTGCATCCACTGCCCAAAACAGTGCCCAGCTTGAGGGAGCTCAGCAGGGTGTGGTTGGCTGGACAGATGGGCCGGTGGGCAGGTGGGCCACAGGGCCTAGGTGGGCTCAGGCACAGGGGCTCGCTCCCACCCCCCCAAGGCAAGCAGGCACCCTCTGGCCCCAGGCAGGGACATGGGATCCAGGGGCTCTGATCTTGCCCCTCCTGCTCCAGCAGGACAGAGGTATGGCATCCCCTGGACCCTGGCAGAGCTGGGGGCAACCTCTCTGGCAGGCCAGGGGCGCCCACCGCGTTGTTTGGGGCCCTTCCTGGGGACAGGGTGGGTGACCAGTTAGCCCACATGTCCAGGGTCAGGGGGTTCCCAGGGTTTTCCAGGAAATGGGGCCTTCTCAGGTGGAGCCAAGGAAGGGCTCAAGACTCCACCCCTGACCCAGGGCTGCCTCCCAGGGCTCCCCTCTGCGTGGTGCTGCGTCCTTCTGCCCAGCACTGGGAGGACATGGCTGCTGTGTGAGTGTGGACAATGTACCTGCCCCTGGTGTGCATAGGTGGGCATGCTTCCTGGCTCAGCATGCGTGGGTGTGTCTCAGGACTTGGTGAGGGTGCGTGTGTTTAGAGCTCGGTGCAGGTGGGCAGTGGGTGCGTTTTGACGTATTGCAGTCCCATGTCCTTGCCTCCTCGGGTGTCCTTGGCAGTGAGCAACCCACATCGCGCTGGGCACCCCTGCCCCCACCTCTCCTAGCCCTGGGCATCTGTGAGTACGGCCTTCCATGGCCGGGCCCCCGCCTAGGCTGCTCTCCGAGCAGTGAGTGCTGGCTTCAGGGTGACGTCCAGGCTCCCGGGGTGTTCGTGCTGCTGGCCTAGGATCCCACTTGGAGAATGCCAGGCGAGGGGGAGGACGTCACTCCTTGCAGAGGCTCAGCTGCCTCAGCAAGGCAGCAGCATGGACCCTGGGTGCTGAAGGCCTCCCAGCCATGACTGTGCTTTGGGGCCTCTGCCCTGGGAACCCCTGCTGGTCCAGCAGTGGAAAGGCTACACCCCCCCACTGGCGGGGAGTCCAACCGTGGCACTGTGATGCCTGGTGCTACAGGTACTGGCCCCAGGCTCACCAAACACCAGCATCACCATCTAACCAACGCACCGTTCACAGATGAGAGGGCCAGTCCCCTGTCTGAGGCCACCCAGCCTGGAAGAGGCAATACTGGGTCAGAGCCAGCAGCCTGACCAGCGTCTGTGTGGTCACTGCGCGGCAGAGCAGGCTGCTTGTCCCCACTGGCTCTCCCCGCCAGGGTCTCCCCGCCAGGGTAGGGCCGAGGCTCCTGGGGGCTGGAGTCCCACCCTGGTTGGGGGCTCCACCTGGGTCCTACAGCCCTGACCTGTGGTGTGCTGCACATTTGCTTCTGGGGACACGAATTGGCACCTGTTCTATCCTGTTGTTGGTGCCCAGGAAAGGGTGCCGGAGGCCTGTGGCTGCTGGGGGAGCCTCATCTCCACCTGCCCTCTTTGGGGTGGGCATAGGGGTTGGGACTCTGCTGAATTGCAGGCACAGGGCTCCCTATCAAGCCCATGAGGCTGGCATCATGCCTCACTGACCATTCCTGGGACGAGGCCTTGGGGCTAGAGAGCCATTGCAACGCCGAGCTTAGAGGACTTTGGCCTCAGGCTGGGCCAGTTCCCCCCAGGGGCTCTGGGTTTCGAGGCCTGGGCTGAGACATGGGGTAGGGGCAGGTGACCACAAGGTACCGGAGTGTTCCAGATCAAAACAGGCTTTGAGCCAGGATCCTCAAGCACTGGCTGTGCAGGGCATGTCCAGCAGGGCATGACCAGGGTGGGTGCTCTGAGCTCTGTTGCTTCCCTCACTTTATGCAGGTTTGAAAGTATCTCCAAGTGAAAAGTTAAAGACGTGCATGGCTCTTTCCCTACTTGGCCACTTAACTGCCCTGTGCCTCAGTTTTTTCATCTGTGTAATGGAAACAGGTACAGTTTCCATTCAGGGCTACAGTGCACGCAATTGTGTGAGTGAGTGGGAAGCACTGAGCCAGGTGCTGCTGATGTCAGTGCTGGATGGCCAGGCCGCATGTCAGCGCCATCCTCCAGGTGACACAATGGAGGCACAGAGAGGCTGAGGAGGGCCCAAGGGCACACAGCCAGGGAGTGACAAGTTCACCCCTGCCATGCCTGCCCTAGGATGGGCCCCGGGAAGGAGGTGGTGTGGGCGCAGCCCAGGGATGGTGGGTCCTGCTGAGTCTTGGTGGCCTCGCAATGGCCCCTGTGCAGCCTGATCCCCAGTCAGGGTGCAGCCTGGCCACTGGGCCAGAGGGGCCACCTGTGGGCAAGGCCCTGCCCATGGGCCCCACGTCCCACTGGGATGTCAGAGTCAGCAATCAAGGCAGTCAGGACAGAGCTCGTGCACTTGAGCCGTGCGCTCCCAGCACTTCTTCCCATCCTGAATTCTCGCCACCCCCTGGGGACTGCTGGCCAAGTGGGTCCCAGCTCTGCCAGGCTCTGCCCTCTTGCCCCCAACTCCTCTGTCCCCCAGCCTAGGACCCTGCCCACGGTAGCCTGCCACCCGTCTAGCAGGGAGTGCTCCCATGCAGGTGGGACAGATGCGAGTTTATCTGAGACAGTGTCTTTCCCTGTCCCAGATGAAGGTCACCATGGCCAAGGGGGGCGACCGGGACAGTGACGATGACAGCATCCTCGAAGCCACCAGCTCCCGGTGGAGCAGCTCCCGGGACCAGCTCAGTGACGTGAGTACCCAACCCCCTGAGACCCTCCTGCCTGGTTGCCTGCCTGCAAATGGACACTGCATGTCCCAGAGGGCATCCAGGAACCTGGGCAGGGGCCCTGGAGATGCCCAGAAAGGCTGTGAGCAGTGAGCATCTGGCCTTCCTTAAAGTGTGGGTTTTGCTAATTAGGAACTTCCCATCAGGAGGATCTAAGTGAAGAAACAGTTAAGGAGCTGGCAGAGCTGGCTGAGATGTTAAACTTTGGGTCACGCTGTGCCTGCCTGTCGGCGTGGGTGGAGTATGCAGTGGCCCCACCTGCATCCTGGAGCAGCCTGGCCCAGCCATATGTGCCGCCTCAGCAGAGGTGCACTGGCCTGGGTGGGGACATGCTGCCCGTGTCCTTGAGAGAGGGTCCCTGGGGCACCTTGGAGCCCAGTGGGGTGGCCAGGCCCCTCAGAGCTCAGCCTCAGGACTCAGCCACTGGTGGGAGTGGGCTCTGGCAGGGCTCCCCGGGGAGGCTGGGCTGGAGGCAGAGAGACCAGAGGCTGGCACCCTCCCCAGCTCCCTTTTGCTTCCCTGGGGACTCACTAGCATGGGTTGTGGCTCGTTATCATGCAAATACGGCCTGAGCTGGGGGGGCGGGGTGTGACTGGGGCCTCTGTACCCAGTGTTGGCCCCTGGGGGGAGTCCAGGCTGCAACCGGCCTAGTTTCTTCCATCTGCCGCCTGGGATGGGTGAAGCGGGCTCAGAGCGCAGGTGGGAACAGGCACTCTGGCAATGGTGCCCTATTGGCAAACTGAAGCCAGGGCTCCAGGTAGGATTCCAGGCCGTCCCCAGACTACCTGAGGCCTGTCCAAGTGGGCCCGGCCTGACTGTGAGCCCCCAGGAACTGACCTGGCAAGGGTCTGCTGGGAACGAGAGGGGCTCCTCCCCATTCTGCAGTCCCAGAGCCCACTGCCTGCCCTGCCCCTGCCCTCAGAGAAGGGGTTTGGTCCTCACATCTCCCCCAGCTGCTCCAGGACATTATCTGATGCTCTGACCCTGTCCCCGATGCCCATGCCCTGGCCATGTGCCTAAGAGGCTCCAGCCCCACCCTCTGTGGTCTGAGTAGCTCTGAGCCCTCTCTCCTGCACCCCTTCCTGTCTAGCCTCTGCTTCCCTGGTAGCCAGCCTGGTGGGCAACACCATCCCTGGGGGTCTTGTGGGAGGCCTGAGAGGTCTGAATGTACAGCCAGTGAGAGCTATGGCCCTTGTCCTAAGGACTACCCAACACCCATTCCAGCCAGGGGTGTTGGAGTCTCGCCACCAGGCCCACAGCGTTGGTCTCTAGGCCAGAGCTCACCTAATGTCTGAGACCCCCTGGCCTCTCAGTCTCCCTGTGGTGACCCCTCTCTCAGGACCTCCGTTCAGCTTCTCCTCCAGGAAGCTTTCCCCGACCAGCCAAGGTGTCCTCCCAGGTTCCTGCAGCTGCGGACCCTCCAGGGGGTTATAGAAGGTGGTGGGTTGAGTCTGGAGCCCTGGGCTGGGCAGGCGCCCTCACTTGGTTGGCCTTGGTGGAATCCAGGCCTGCAGCCACAGAACCTCCCTGCTCTGCTCCAAGCAGTGCTTTCTGGGCGGGCCTTCCCTCTTGAGGGCAGTCAATTGGCTGAGGGCCCAGGATGACCACCCCTGGGGAAGGAGCCCTGAGGCGTCCCAGGCATGGTGTCTGGGCAATGCTTAGCTCTTAGCCTCAAGGCCATGTGTGGGCTGCAGGCAGCGGGCAGGAGTCCTTGGAGGGGAGGCTGCTTCGCTAACTGTGCTCCCTTCCTTCCTTCCTTCTGCAGAGCTCAGCGCAGGCGGTCTCGGGGAGAGGCTACTCTGTAAGTCCCAACTCTGCCCCTGCTGTCTCATCCCCCAAGTCCTCACCAGGACCCTCACCTGCCCCGGCGCCCTCACCTGGAGGCCTCTCCAGCCCTGTTCCGCCCAAAGCCCCCCAGTGGGGGTGGGGGTAGGGGTGGACGAGCTCCCAGCTGTACTTGGGGTTCCCAGCCTGACATGCTGCCCACTGGGGAACAGGTTGCCCTGTGGCTGTGACCTCTGTCCAGAATTGGTGTCGGGAGGCTGCCTGCGCCACCCCACAGCAGCCTAGGGCACTGGCGTCTGTGGGCCACTGCCGAGGGTCCTGTTGGAGCCATGGGGCATTTGGTGGAAGTGCCTGGTGTGAGCAGTGCCCAGACCCTGGACCTCCCTGGGTTCAGTCAGAGAGGCTGGGAGATGACTCCGAGGGTGGTCCACGTGTGGCTGGGTGGCCACTTCTGGGTGTCGTGAGCCCCCGTGGGTGTGGGTGGCACAGCCTGGGTTGTGGGCTTCTGGGTGTGGTGCATCCCCATGGGTGTAGATGGCACAGCGCAGGGGCCCCTGCAGCTGCAGCGTGGCCTGTGTGTCTCTGTGCTGATACCCCTACCCCAGCTGGACTTGCTGCAGGAGCGGCCTTGGGGGCCATAGGGGCCAGTGCCTCCCCCCCCCCAGCCTAGAGGTCCAGCCAGCTGTGTCTGCACCCAGGCTTCTGTCCCCACAGGAGCAGCCCAGCCCCTCCTCCTGACTCATTTCGTCCTCCCTTAGGCATCTAGAGGAGCGTTAGTGACATTGTAAAGCCCAGAGCTCCACAAAAGCCCTTTCTTAGATTTACAGCCAGTTCTGCTCAGTGGAAGTCAGGCCTGCCTCATCCTTGCAGTCCTTACTTCCTGCCAATTGCAGGGTCACGGGCTCCTCCAAGTCACAGTGGCTTTTATAGGGTGTGTAGTTAACCCATTAATTTCTCGATGGCCAGGTCTAGGGAGCAGTGTGGCTTAGGGGAGACACCCTCCCACTGTGGCTTCTGGTGGCCTCAGAAAAGGAGTAGTGAGCGACCTGGGTCCAGAGAAGCTGCCTACCAGGCCCAAAGTGTACCTCTCGATCTCTGGGCCCTTGGGGTGTCCAGGGCAAGAATCAGCCATGTGCCTGGGAATGGAGGGGGTTGAGTTGGCCCTTCTCACCACTCACCTCTGCTCCCCTGACGCTGCCACCCTGTCTGAGGGTCTTTCTAAGCCCTGGACTCTATCCACCACCACTTTGGGCTCAGCCTCGTGACCTTGGGCTCGTCTCATGACCTTGGGCTCAGCCCCATGACCTTGAACTCGGCCTTCAACCTCTAACCTGCCTAGGCTGCAGCATCCTTCACTCTGACCCAGGGAGGCCGCAGCATACCTCCGGGGCTGGTTCCTGGAGTGAGCCCCACGGGGACTTCTGGGGGAGGCCTGCTTCTTCCGTGTGGTGCGGCTTGAGGCAGCCCTGCGTCATCATGTTGAGGACAGCAGCCCTTGCAGGTGGTATGGATGCCCCAACATGCCGTCGCATGATTGGCGGCCCCTCCTCCACACAGTGTCTGGGCCGGGGGTCAGCTGTGTGGCAACAGAACAAGCCGTGCTCCCGTGGTACCCAGTGGGCACCTGGGCACAGGGAGGGTGCGGGATACCCTTTGGACAGGAGGGCTGCGAGGTCCCGGAGGAGGCGCCCAGACTGTGTGGCTCATGGCACATCTGGAGGGCCACTCAAGGGTCCTGTGGGCTCACGAGTTGGGGGACAGTGGGCTCTGCCCCGTTGCCGGTGAGGTGTGCACATGTCCCTTGGACCTAGTGGCTGGGCCTAGGACCACGGATGGGCCCCCAGCTGGATTTGAGCCACTGGCGACCTCTGCTCCTAAGTCTCGTTGGCTGTCCAGCCTTCTCTGCAGCACACTGCTCTGTGTTTTCTGGAAAAGCCGGTGATTAACATGCCAACTGCTGCAGCTGAACTCATGTGACCACCACAGAGCAGCAGATGGTAGGGGGACTGCATGGCTGTGAGTCCCTCCAAGCCATGGGAGCTGGGAGGCTTGAGGCTGCAGATGGTTCTCTGTGTACAGTAGCCTGGCAGGTGCAGGCGCATGTGTCAGTCAGACCCTGGCGAAGCGTATGCAGACAGGCCCTGTTGTGCTCAGATGAGCCCTGGCGTGTGCAGGTGCATGTGTTGGACCCTGACACGTATAGACAGGCCTCCAGGTCCTGCTGTGTGTGGGTGTGAGCCCTGGGCTATGTTCCAGGGTGCAGACGGTCAGCCTTGGCCCTGGTGACCCTCGGGTTCCCAGGCTGCACCATCCTGGCCACGAGTCCTTTTGTCTGGTTGGCATGGGGTACAGGTGGCATCCAAGCTCCAGGTGGCAGTAGGGAGAGCCCAGCCTTCTTGGCAGAGGCCTGGACAGGAGTGCTCAGACCAGAGGCCAGACTGAGGTCAGACTGCCCAGGGCTGGATGAGCTGGAACCAGCCAAGATGCCTGGTGCCCGGAAGTGGGAGGGCAGGTGGGCAAGAAGCCAGGTGTCCCAGGGACAGGATCAACCCTCCCAGGCCTTATCCAGACCAGGACCTCCCTGTGGGGCCCTCAGAGACCTGGGTGTGCACACGCAGGCTGGGGCTGCCATGCGTATCTGTGTGTGCGTGTGAGTGGTGGATACATGCCTGTTCCTGTGTGTAGCTTGTGTCCATGGCATGGCCTGAACGGTGGCTGCAGGGTTTGTGCATGCGTTGTCCAGAGGAGCACGTACTGCTCTCTGGGCCTCTGTATGTCTGCATCAGCCTTGGCCCTGGTGGCCCTCGGGTTCCATGTGTTCTATGTGTGTGTCTTTATGTACCGTGTGTCTGTGTCCTGTTTGTGTCTCTGTGTCCTGTGTGTGTATCTGTGTCCTTGTCTGTTCCTGGTGTATGTCTGTGTCCTGTGTGTGTGTGTCTGTGTCCTGTGCGTTTGTGTGTGTCTGTGTCCTGTATGTCTGTGTCCTTTGTGTGTCTTTATGTCTCTGTGTGTTTGTATGTGTATGTATGTCTCTGTGTCTATGTGTGTCTGTGTATCTGAGTGTTTGTCTGTGTCCTGTGTCTGTTTGTATCTCTGTCTTGTGTGTAGCTGTCTGTCTGTGTCCAGTGTGTGTCTTTGTCTCTATGTGTGTGTGTCTGCATGTTTGTGCCTGTGTCCTGTATGTGCATCCTGTGTATCATGTAGTGTGTCTCTGTGTCTATGTCCTGTGCATGTCTGTGTGTCTTTGTATGTCTGTGTGTGTTCTTTGTGTGTCCATGTGGTCTGTCTGCACATGTGTGTCAGTGTCCTCTCTGTGTGTCTATGTGTGTATGTCCCATGTGTGTCTGTGCCTGTATCGTGTGTGTGTCCTCTGCATGTGTGCTGTGTCCTGTGTGTCTGTGTGTTCTGCATGTGTCTGTGTGCACATGTCCTATGTGTGTGTACTGTGTGTCTGTGTCCCTTGTGTGTGTGTGTGTGTGTCCTCTGTGTGTATACCCTGTGTGTCTGTGTGTGTTCTCTGTGTGTGTATCCTGTATGTTTTTACTGTCTGTGTCTGTGTATCTGTGTGTATGTCCTGTGTGTCTGTGTCCTATGTGTCTATGTGTGTGTCCTCTTTATGTTTATGTGCTATGTGTCTGTGTCCTGTGTGTCTCTGTGTGTGTGTCCTGTGTGTGCCCTCTGTGTGTGTGCTGTGTGTTCTGTGTGTGTCTGTGTCTTGTGTGTGTGTGTCCTGTGTGTGTCTCTGTGTATACGTCCTCTGCGTTTGTGTGGAAGGGGGGCTGTGTCTGTGTCCTGTGTGCCTGTGTGTGTCCTCTGTGTGTGTGTTGTGTGACTGTTTCCTGTGTCTCTGTGTGTTCTCTGCGTGTGTGTGCTGTGTGTGTGTCTGTGTGTTCTGTGTTCTGTGTGTGTCTGTGTGTGTGTCCTCTGCATGTGTGTGTGTCTGTGTGTCTGTGTATGTCTCTGTCCTGTGTTTGTACTTTGAGTGTGTGTGCTGTGCATATGTGTCCTGTGTGTGTGTGTCCTCTGCATGTGTGTGTGCTGGGTGTCTGTATGTTCTATGTGTGTCTGTGTCCTGTGTGTGACTTCTGCCTGTGTGTGTGCTGTGTGGCTATGTCCTGTGTGTCTGTGTGTGTGTCCTCTGCATATGTGTGCTGTGTCTGTGTCTATGTGTTCTGTGTGTGTCTGTGTGTTCTATGTGTGTGTCCTCTACATGTGTATGTGGCATGTGTCTGTGTGTCTGTGTATATCCTCTACATGTGTATGCTGTGTCAGTGTGTGTCTGTGTGTCCTCTGCATGTGTGTGTGCTGTGTGTCTGTGTGTGTGTGTCCTGTGCGTGTCCTCTGCATGTGTGTGTGTTGTGTGGCTGTGTCCTGTGTGTGGTGTGTGTCCTCTGCTTATGTGTGTGCTGTGTGTCCGTGTATGTGTGTTTTGTGCGTGCGTATGTCCTCTGCAGATGTGTGTCTGTGTGATCTGTGTGTGAGTGTCCTCTGCGGCTGTGTGTGCTGTATGTTTGTGTGTGTGTCTGTGTGTGTGTCCTCTGCGGTTGTGTGTCTGTGTCTCTGTGCGCGTGTGTGCGTCCATGTGGCAGACCTGCCCCTCTAGCTCTTCGGGGCGCCCTGGGCGCTCGCTGTGTGTGTGCCTGTGTGCGCCTCTTGCCCCGGCACGTGTGGCGGGCCTGGTGCCCGTCCCGTGCTCCCTGAAGTCCTGCTGAGTGGCGCAGAGCAGTGCCTCCCTTGGCAAGTTCCCTCCCCATCAGCCTCCCCTTGCCTCGGGACGCGCCACCGTGAGGCTGAGGAGAAAGTCCTTTCCTAGCTTGCTGTCTGGCGACGAGGCCAGACTGGGTTCCTTCATCAAAGAGGAGCAAGAGGCTGTGAGTGCCGGCCTGGCCCAGCCGCTACTGCCTCACTCTCCCTACACCCACACATGGCATGTTCTGGTAGGGCCCATGCCCAGCAGGGGTGGGGGACAGGTGAAGGCAGCTGTGTGATAGGTACAGGGAGGTGGGCAGTGAGCCG